AACGGCTACCCATCCAACCTACTCTATCGCCAAATATTTTATGGATTAATGGATGAATTTGGGCTTTTCAGGTTCTGACATACTCTCATCACTGCTCAATGATCAACAATCTACTCTCACTCTCATTATTCATCATTCGTATTAAAAATAATAAATAAATTTTAATTTTTCCTTTTAAGTTTCCCTGGTTGAAATTTCCGTCGATTTGCCTCATTACCATCGTGAAAAACTTTCACTCTGACACCGGTGCAACCACGTAAACAAAACGTCGCACGTGTCTGTCTTTTATTGCGCCGCTTATTTCACCGTTTACGACGCGGGTGGTAGGTGAGTGTCGCCCCAGAACAATAAGGTACATTATCGTGTCCTCTCTATCTGACAGATTGTAAAATTTTCGCTGGAAAAATATTTGTAGCTTTATGGGGGACTATAAATCGGCGAAAAGTGAAATAAGTGAAGATTATTTTGGGCGTGTTGCGAGATGACGGGTTTATTGACAGGGTCATTGTCACCCTTGAGTTTCTTGTACTCGCGAGACCGGTGGGGAGGGAGACAGCATAAACAGGACGAGAAGGAGGTGGAGGAGGAGGAGGAGGAGGAGGAGGAGGTTTAATACCGGAGCACTGGCTTCCCCCTTTGCCTGGGTATTTCCGTCGTGGTTGCACCCAGAAATATCTCGTTGCGGCGAGAATTAATGCACATCCTCGGTTATATTTAGTCAACACCTCACCAAATACCAATGAAATTGATTAAAAAAGGGTGCGCACCGACAAAAGAAAAATCCCACCGAATTTACTATTAAACATATTTTTCTCAGCAACAGCCAATTTTTTCGCCGTGTTCGCGAAGATCACCATTGACCCCATGTTTGCAAAAACATGTGAGAAAACAATACGCAATAGACAATTTGTTATCGATTGAGCAACTTCCCGAAATTCCAGATTTATTAACAAACAGTGACTTTAATTTGATGACGCCATTCATGCCTCACCATTGCCCAATTTCCATGAAAACAATAAACCATTTTTTTATATAAAACATCACTGAATAAATAACGACATGAGAGAATGAGAGGGAGCCTTCCGATTAATGCACCGAACGTCTCGTGTGCATAAAACAAACCTGTATTTTTTATCATAAACTACAACAGCTCGTGGAGAGGTTAACGTGTAATTGCCTCGGGCAATGAAAATATTTTTATTACCGCTCCACATTAGTGGAGTAACGATAACCATTACTAAAAATGCAGGGGAATAATTGAGGGAAAATTAAGGAGTCAATTTTCCGCTGAAAAATAAACAACCCACCGAGCAAAAGTAATTTCCACCGATTAATTTTATTACTGCTAAATAAATTTGTGACAAGAAATCAAATGAAAAGTGCAGTTGGAGCAAATGAAAGACAGCAAGCGGAATTCTCGGGTTATGACTTCTGAATTTTGAAAGATGGAACAATCGAGTGAGAACTTCATCGAAATTCCCACGGATCTTCGGTACGTGCGAAGAAATAACGGAACTGTCTCCTGACGTCACTCCCAACATCACAGTCGACTCCTTATTTTGAGAGTCAATCAACTCCACAAAGGGAGAATATTCTTCATACCGGTACAAGGTACCGTTCAATAAAATGAATTCCGAATAAATCCCACTATTTATCGCTTCAATTTTTAAGAGGCATTAGAGGTGCTCTTGCCGGTGGCTGATAGACTTTTCGTTTCTACGTCTTGCGAAAGTGGAAAGTTCCCGAGAAAACCTCAAGGATCGATTTGCTTCAGACTTGAATATGAGCTTATGAATCGACGGGTTAATGAAGTAATTGCTTGAAGAATAACGAACCGTTAGTTCTTGGAGTGAAAAAAAAAACGTGTGTGAATAATGAAGCAATCCTTGGATTTTGGCAAGAATGTTTGGTCGAGAAGGTAATAATGAGATTTAAGCGGGTGATTAAAAGAAAAGAGAATTTTAGTTGTCGTTGGTGGTTCTTTGGTCTCCAGTTGGACGCACTCGTGCGCCAATGTAACTCCACAACTTTCACCTGGCGCGTGAGCCAGCGCAACTTCGTCCCTGTCCACCCAATTTTTTTTTTTTCATTCCATTTTTCACTCATTGCTCCCTTTTTCCTTTCAATGTTCCCTTCAAAAATCTCCTCAACAATCGACAATTAGAAATTATCAACACTTCATCGACTTATTCTGAAGAAAATTTATGAACGTGCCGGAATATCGACCGATAACAGAATAGAAGGTGATCATTGCTTATCTCTTTCGTCATAAATACGACAGTCTAACGAGCTGTTGGGAAAGACAATTACCCGAGTATATTAATGTTGAAAAAATAATCAATTGTAATGGTCGCACGAAAAGTAATTTTGGGGTGGAAGAGAAATCGGAAAGAGGTAAAATGGAAATAAAAATATTGAATGTGATAGATTTTTTAATTCTGAAATTGACGTGCGATTGAAAAAGCTAAGCAGAGAGAAAAAAACGTCATGTTTCCGGTCAATAGCAGAGGTCATCAATGTTACATGCGCCTGTCCACAGCTGTAGCAAGACTTCTTTAGTCTCTTCCCCACCAGTTGGGTAGCACGCAAATACGTTTGATAATACCGATCGATATTATACCAGTCGGGGGAGACTATACCCCGAAAGAAAAAATTATTTCTGCCGATTAAATTTGTTAGGATGAAACAACTTTGAAACAACAAGAATTAAATGGGCACGTCATGTAAATATTTTATGCATTTAGTTGTCCCCTCTATTTTTTTTTACTTGGGATACATCATTTTCTCATTCAAATGTCATCCAAATGCCCATGAAAAAAAAATCAAATCTTCTGCAATTTTTCCGCATTTTCTCTCCGTCAATACGAAATTCCGAGGTACGAAATATTTTTATTTGACCCTCATTTTTTTCCAAGTTCCCCCACAAAGAAAATACGTCATGGTGTGTTGCACCGCGAGAAATAGGGAGAGAGAGAGAGAGAGAGAGAGAGCCAGTGGCCACAATATTCAGCGTACGACCGCTGGTGAGTTAGAAATCCTTTGGTGAAAGTGTTGGCAACGGGCAAATACTGCTTTATAAATCGTGTATACAACTAGATGAAGGAATGCCCGAGCCGACAATCACCCAAAATGTCATTAAAACTTAGGTATCTCGAGGATACATTCGTTAAAAAATAAAAGCGAGAATTGGAGTAAAAAGGTCGAGCTGCCCGCATGAACTCATTCGATAAGCGGTGCGAAAATAAATTTCATCCATCGATTATTTATATATTTCTCCCACACAAAAACATTGATTATGCGAGAAAAGGGACGTGACTCCCTTTTGTACCTTCCCCCTTTTCCTCTTCAGACTCGTCGATTTTTCTTCCAGTTGCATTTACGATAATGACGAGGGGGTAGATCACCCCTCTGATAGCACATGGGGACGGAATACACATTCTCCGGGAGAGAAATATTCTCGACAAATCTGTAGGCCTCGTTAACCCAACAGAATGTCTCCCGTCTTTATTCCTATTATTCTCTTTTTACTTTTTTTCCTCCTCTCAGTCGAGAGTTTAATTCCAACTGCCATTATGCCATTACTCAAAATGAACCGGCGGCTATTTTTTTTTTTTTTTTCGTATATGAAATATTTCGTGGGCAAACTGAGAGAAAAATATTTACTATCACGAACAACTCTTCAATTCTACGACCTCTCCATTCTAAGAATTTTTTTCCTATTCACAACGAATGTTTACATTTTATTTTGTTGTGAACGAATGGATGAATGCCCTGAAAATCCGGAGATTCCAATCATTCCGGGCATTAAATATCCCACCACTCGATAAACAAAACCGAAATTGTTTACCAGTGAATTTGCCGTCAAATGTCCGGAATGCAAACTGAATTCCGTGTTTTGTTATGAGTGAACAATACCACATGAACCAGAGGAATTTCGTGTAATGAAGTCGCTGGAATTAGCAGTCCAATCCGGACAAAATCGATTGCATGTTCACAACTCGTTAATTCGTTATTAATAGAGTGGAACAATGGAAATATTGTGATGCGCGTTGTTGTGTGAATCCGAGTAAAAACCTGTCCCTGGATGTGTGATTTTTGCACTCGACCCTGTCCCACATTAGCATTGAACATCATCAGGACAAAACCGTGATTGAAGATACTAACTGATGGAAGATACTAAAGACTACGAAGATGTTTCCTTTTTATTCACCATAGATGTATAGAGCAAGCGAACATTCACCAAATTGATCCGTCATTTTCTAAAGACCAGAAAGGTCGCGCGACCCAATAAAAAAAGAAAACACCGGAGAAGAAAGTAGTCTCGCCAAATCAATGAAACCAAATAGCGCTAAGTATTTCAATAATTCATAAATATTGTGTAATTTCCGCCATTTCAACCAGCAACAACTGAAAGTGTTGAAGTCAGTCAAAAATTGAAGATCCTTAAACTTTCTATATTTCGTCATCAGACGATGTGTTTAAAGAAATACACATCGAAAATTATTTAAAAAATGAGGATATTCGACTGTTCTGACCTTGACAAGTCCCCAGTCAAGAAAATTGATCGATGGTTAAAGTCCAAAATCTGTCCCCGAGGCGTTAAAAACTCCAAATCGACTCAAAGGAAATGAAATTTCCCCACTATAAAATAGTGTAGAGAGACATTGCAGTCTCTATTTTTCTCAATTGTCAGTTATTGAAGATTGGAGAAAATCCGATGTTAAATTTGGCCAGAAATAATGGGGTTATGCAAAGGGAGGGAAAACCGAGACACGTGATGGGCGGGAAAAAGCCCTCAACAATGGCGATAAAAGACTAGACAAGCGGAATCAAAGAAAATACGAGAAAATACAATGAATGTCGACACAGTGGCCTAGTGACTGGTCGACCCGGACTCCTCTATCCCGCTTGCATCAGCGTCAACCGTCATCCGTCGACATGTCATTGAGCAAAACGGATTAACTCCACCTAGAGTGGAAGACCAAGAGACATGGACTTACCTCGATAAGGTGCCCTTGAGAAGCGGGTTCCTATCATCATAATAACCCCCGGAGGACGGCATTTCCCTTCTTCAAGTAATCCAAACGTTTGGCACAAGGCACTTGGCACTAGCACTACAGCACTGCATCACTGGCTTCTCGCGCGATCCTCAACACTCGGGGGTTCTCAATTCACCCGTTCCAATAATTCACCATTGCGCACATATCCCATCTGTTTACCCGTATCTCACTCTTACACAGTCTCCACAAAATCACTGATTATCACGATTATTTTCTACTATTTATTCCAACGTTCACACCTATTCCATTGTGAATCCAAAACTCCAAACAATCCAACTATTTTAAAACAGCTGATCGAGTCCCATCAACTTGTGGATTTAAATCGACCCGTTGACATTCAATCACTTTAAATCCACACCGATTAAATTTTCTCCTGATCCTTGTCGATGGTTCTTCTATGGGTAACCTGGAGAGAAGGCCAATTATTTTCGTTTGAGAGATATTTTAGTTTTGTATGTTATAACGCACAGCGCCACTCAACACCTCTCACCGACGACTGACAGTCCGATCCCGGATTCTTCCGTCAAACACGTGCGATCGCTACACTCAAACATGGCCGCCAGTTCATATCCCCTTCCCTTTATCCCCTATCCCCTCTCCCTCCCTCGCCCCTGCCGCCTCTACAGTCTACTGCTACTCTATACCAGTTCCTTGTACATTTTATTTTCACAAAATATCCATTCATTTACTTTTTGATAAGTCTCATTTTGTCGAAAAATTTTATCTCTCAACAAAAACTCACTCCGCCATTAAAACCCATCTGTCTGGTAAATACCAGCTTCATTTTTTAAAAAATCAACACCGATGAATATGAAAATTGAACATGAAGGAGTGTCTGAGAGCGCTGCATATTCTATTGAAATAAAGTGTTTCCGAATATCGATATCAGTAACCAAGTGGTATATTCAGATAAGACCTATTTGATTGATCAGGTATTTTTTTAAATTTTTTATCGGTTGGATACAGCGAATGTTGAATGACTAGTGGCGCAACGACTAAACCACTTTGAGATCAAATGTCAGAGGAGTGAATTGTAATTATAATTCATTATTCAAGTGGCAGAACAGGATAATTCGCCATTTCGGGAGATTTCACTTTAGTCTATGGAAATTTTTAGCGATAATTAATTTATATTTGAAAAAAACGTAATAATGTTATCAATTATCACAACAAAAATGAATTGGCAGTTACATCTATGAACATACAGAAGTAACTGAATCCTATAATTAATTAAGACAGGAATATTTTCGTATTCCTGGGATAATGAGACTTTCCGACGTATTTAATATCGCAATGAAATTAGCCGATTAGGTGAGATCGGAGGGAATAATGAATGGAAATTATTAGAAAAAAAGAGTATCCTTGCACGATGAAACAGAGACATTGGTAAATGGTTAACCCTTAGGTGGACACGTGGGCTTTAGTAAATCCCCAAGCGGGAGAGCCGGATTTCATGATTATAGAGGTGTAATTCCGAGGCTGTCCTGAATTTATCTAATGTTTTCGAGTCTTAATGACCACATGAATATTCACATTGCGACAATATTTCAAATGATGAATTGTTGGAATTGCTGGAGATAACGTTTCCTTTGTTCAACTTATTGACGATATAAAGCGGAAAACCAGAATAATCCGGAAATATTGTCAATAATTCCAGTCGAAAAGAGACAGAGATATTCGCTCAACCTCATTTACGAGTAATATTGAAGAGTGATTAGGGATTATAGAATGAGAAGGTGATAATGCATTAATAATCAGATAATATTTATGTTCAATGGCCGACTCAATGTCTGCGACAATACGAATTTTATTTTCGCTCGACATTTTTTCTACTCCCTGAACAAAGACTTGAATGCCTATTTTCGGCACTCATTTTTCTCTGTACGATTTTCAAAATATCTCCCCTAGGGTCATTAACCCTGCGCCCCAAACGAATTACAAAAATGCTCCTAATCACGAGCTCGAAGGGAAAATTCGGCTTTCCGTTTCTTTAACTGGGTCATGTGAAGAAAGAGGGAATTATGAGCACGTGGATGTGCCTAATTACTTTTAAATGTCACGCTGAATTTTCCATACTATTTTTTCCTTACTATTTTTTAGGAAAGGGAGCCATCATGTTTACTCATCATTATATACTCATTTATTACTTAAAAAGGAGTTGACGTCTGTTCTCATTGTTTAAAGTTTACGTTAATATTGAGATGTTGTGTTTAAAAAAATTTTGCCGCGTGCATCAGATTTAAGTACGGGAAAAATAAATAAACTGCCAAGTGGCAAGTCTTCACTGAAGTTTTGTTTGACATTGTAAATCAAAATAAAAAAATAAAAAAACAAAAAAAATATACATGTTAAATGTAGAAGCGGAATAGATACGTGTGTATCTGAATTGTTATCATCTATGGGAGAAGTGAATGAAAAACAAGGATAATGTGCTTACCGAATGTCTAAAGACCGCAAAAGTCCGGAAGATGAGTGGTGAGGTGAGTGGCAAGTGAAAAGAGAGGCCCTGAGAAATGTGATGAAAAATAATTTAGCGACACACGATGAAGAGATTTAGAAGCGGGTGAAAAGTGAGAAAGTAAGAGCATTGAGTCTCGTCAAGGACGTTAGCTTGAGCGGGATTGAGACGGGAGGGCACCGTACCACCTCTCCCACTTCACATCACTTTACTTCACTTCACTCCTCTCTTTTTCTCTTCATTTATTTTTCATTTCTCCTCTCCCCACCAAACCTCTCGCAACATTCGCCGCCCCACCACTCCTCACATACGTTAATATTGCGTATCTCACACGCACAATATCCCAATGTTCATGTCCCAGGGGCGCCTCAAAACCGACATAGGAAAAAAAATATATTAAAATACCAGCAAAATGAAATAAATAGAAAGAACGGAGGGGGAGCAGCGGCACAACCGCCGATAGTGGGAAACCTCAAACGCACTCGAATCGCCTGGAAAATAATGGTACCGTAAGTCGTTCCACTTCCAAAGAAAACGCTCCGGAATTCAGTCGGCCTATTCGCCTTCTCTCGACTTTTTAATTTCCCCTTCTTCCACGCCTTCTCTCACACTTTTTTCGACAATCCCCCCCCTGGGCCCGAAAAATTCCATTATTTCTCCATGTTCTATTTTGAGTTTTTAAATCAGCCGAGATTCACTGAAGGAGCTGAAAACTCTGAGTTTCAATTGTTCGGTGGAGTTTAGCGGTTTGTGCCAGTTTCGGCTATTCCAATTGAACTCATACCTGAATAAACTCGGTGAGGATACAATAGTGGCAAATTTATTAATGTAATTACCAGATTTTTGGCGTGACTGGAGTGTACGATATGGAAGCTGATTTGCAAGATTCACGGAATGGTGCGGAGGCTTATCCGACAACAAACTGTCAACAGGCGCGCGGGGTACGGTATCGGTGTCCCTCGTGATTCTGTTGTGTCCACTTGGGTTACTCCCACTACTCCACTCCTACTTGCTACTTGCTACATCCAAGCCCCACCCCCACCCCCACCCCCGCCGCTCCTCTAACCCAAACTTCTTCATTGGCCCTTCGTTTGTTTTGGTACTCTGTCTTGTTGAATTTCATACTAGGTCCCTGACGTGGGCAGTTTCGCACGTTCATGGAGAATTAGCGCTTTAGCGCTGGAAATCAATCATAATACAATTGAAGAGGTATTTTGTCAAAGAAAAAAAGACAAAATTTCTTGATTGAATTATATTTGAAAAATTCGCACACAAAACCATGAGGAATAAAAAAATCTTGCACAAGTTGTAATTATCTAAATTTAATAGACATTTCTACACTTAAAAAAATCCTTTATTGTAAATATAGAACTGAAGCGAGGAACCCCTTAATAGACTTTTCAATTCATACTTCAAAGCTGTCATCACCAACCCAGAGGAGATGATTATTTCATCTCCTCTCAAAAAACAGTAATAATCTTCCCTCGATGGTCATTCCACTGTGTCATCTGCAGTCTCATAATTTAAAAAAAATTATTTCTGAACCATTTCATTCATTCCACACACACCTATGATATCCCACGAATTTTATCACCTTATAATATATATATCTCTCGCCTTTGTCATCAATTACAATAATTATTTCCTTTTTCCTCAGTTATTTACTGTTTCATAGTTCAACAGCTTTACAATTGTTTCTGCTGATCTCATTATGAATTATTTTTATATATTTTTTATCTTTACGAGTGAGTCTACGAGTCGCGACCTTCATTTGCCACTGAAGGAGGTACGAATAATTTTAAATTACATACGACTCGTCAATGGTCAGGCGTGGACCACCCAATTAAAGAACACCAATTAAATCCATTCAACGACGGAAAAATTAAATGGTGTGAGAAATTAGATTAAACCAATTTTATAATATACTGTAGGAGACAATTGCGTTTCAGTGGCAATTCAAAAGCATTGGAAACTATTCCATTTAACTGGAATTACACTCATTCAAATCGAAAACAGGTTTTCACCTTCCGATATTGATCTAGACTTTTATTGTAGACTTTTTCAAGAAAACCTTTTCCTCCTATTGTTCCGGTGAGAGGTGCCCGCTTTTGATTCAGAGCCACACAAATTCCTCAGAAAAATCGAATCTCGAGCGTTATCCCGACACGCCAACAGTATTATTGGAGAAATTATAGAAAGAAATAGGGGGGGAAAAAAATACAAGTAACTTTCGAATTGATCTCCTCTCACAACAGTGGCTCGAATTTATCAAGTTTTTTTGTCGAGAAATTAGCCAACGATCGGGTTTTCTTAACTGAGTTCAAATTTAGCACTTAAAATCATTATTGCCTCAATTCCATAATCATCAACACATCAAAAATATCATTTTCATTATTATTCCTTTATTATTTCATCAATTATGCTAATAAAAAGTCAATTACAGGTCTTATCAAATCATTTAAATCCATAAACAAAATTCTCGAGGTCATCACGAATATTCTTAACGTCGTTAATTGTAATGCAATTACTGTATTTGTTCCGTATTTCATTGAAATACCATTTGTTCCATAATTCCTCGTCTGACGTATCTGTATCGGCCCCAAAAAATACACAATCTGGTCCCGTTGTCGTAATTAAACAAGTCATTGCACCAGATAAATCAACCTCGTCATTCTGACCCCCCAAACAAAATATTCAGATTCCACAGAAAAATTAACATTGTGAAACAATGACTGCTTCATAAAAAAAATGCTATTCAAATAACTTTCGATGAATTTACAAATTGTTTTCCTCGATCGAGTGACATCCTAAGGCACATTCTCAAAAATTCCCATAATTTCACGTCAATTATTGTAGCAATATATGTATAAAAAAAAAAAAATGTTCTTCATGATAATTTAAGTCAACAATTTGCAGATCAAATCAATTCCACAAATGTCAAATAAAGAAAACTGTCTACAATGATAGGCTGCACTCGTGAGATCTAGAAAACCCCTTCAGGAAAGACCCTGTAATTCTTAAAAAAAAAAACTAACGGATAAAATTCCCTAAATATTATAATTGGCCTCAACTCCGATCGTTCGCAATTTCATTCTACAAATCCATCGAATACTATATATTTACTAACAAAAAAAAATGAAGTTCATTAGGAAAATCTACTATTAAAGAAATCCGTGAAAGTGATGAATGCGCGAATGTTACAAATTTTCCCCAGTGCGACAAGCCCCCGAAGCAGTCTCCAAAGACTTTGGCAATTGCGCATATTGAATTTCTCACGTAATCATCTTCAAATAATCGTTCTAAAGTTATTAAAAACTTTTTTTTATTGGTAATGAAATATTTTTTTCATAACATGTCAATCTGCCTCTGGGGGGAGGAACATTTGGGTATTGCAATAAATACGGTTATAGCAAATAGCCCCGATGAATAATAGCCCTGGTTAGAACCTGGCTCGTATATAAACAGCTGATGCATCGTGTTCCCCATAGCCCAGGCGTTTAGCATGTTTGTAAACTTCATTGGCTGCTGCTGCCAGGGGTAAAGGTTGCTCGAGCTGGTCTGACATACCCAGGGACAATCTCAAGTCCTTCTGCATGTGTTGAAGGGGTAATTGCGTTGGAAAACCACCTTCGATTATTGCTGCAATAAAAAAAAATCATTGTAATTATTCTCATTACTCACCCACCAAGATAAAAATTCATTTTCCATAAATATAAATATATTTATTTACCTCTCCCTTTGTCCAAAATGGCTGGACATGCCAATGAGGTGAGTTCCAACACCTCGAGGACATCCTTCTGCTGGAGTCCAGCGCGATCAGCAAGTGCCATGCTCTCGGCAAGTCCAGCAAGCGTTACTCCAGCCATCAACTGAAGAACAAGATTCATCTTGGAGGCATTGCCGACTTCCCCGAGGTAAAAACTATTTTTTCCCATAGCCTCGAAACAAGATTGGCACTCGTCAAATAATGATCTATCACCAGCTGCTAAAATAACCAGAGTACCCTCCTGGGCATGAGTTTTACTCCCTTGGACTTGAGCCTCCAGGTACCGTCCTCCTTTCGTATTTATCGCCTCGGCGATGTCCTGGGATGTTTCAGCATCAATTCCCGTCATCTCAACGTAGCCCTTGTCCGGGGATATTTCTGTCAGGACTCCACAATTTCCAAATACCATCTGTAAATAATGATACATTCTCAATGCTCACTCATTCAAATTCATGGACTCTCCAAATTTATCAAGATTTTGATAAAATATTCTTACGTCTTTAGCAGCTTGAGGATCTGCAACACACGAGAACGTAATATCCGCTGCTAGAACAACATCCGATGGTGTAAGTCCCTGTTCCGCACCGGCTTTGACAAAGTCCTGACACTAAAACACAAATGACATTCATCAATAATTATTTATTGAAGAATTGAGAATTATTTTCCGACTAGTTTGTCTCTCAAAAAATTTTTAATTTCTTCCCGCCGCCCAGAGACAGCGTCCGTCATCTGTCGGCTAGGAAAGAAATTCAAGATGGTTATTGAAAGCAACAAACAGATGGCGTTCTTGGAGGAAGCTCCACGCCATTGACTTCAACGAAGCCATCACGTAGGACGACCGACGCCTCATGGACGCTTTCGCCACATCATCAACCGACGCCATCATCCAACGTCCCAGTCCCTCCCATCCATCGCCCATATTTTCCAAAAAAATTTACAACACAAATAGCAGATACATGTCAATGTCTCCAATGCATCGATGCAATCAGGTATATACCCAACAATACTTCCCGAACCCTGAAAATGCTCTCGAAGGTTCTCGAACACACCGACGCCATGAAACAGACGCCTCATTCTAACGCCAAATCCCTCCACAAATTTCCATCAATGTTATCCCTAAAACTCATTCTCAACTTCTATTACGATGTAGCATTATGCAATCGCAAAACTACTGTTTTATCTTTCACCCAGGGCCACTCCCAGAAACGGAAATTGGAATGTTTCGGTGATAAACGAGCGTACGAGACTCTTGGGTTTACATCCACCAACTATAATTGCACTGATCATTCAGATGATGAATGAATTCTCGACTAATTGGATGGGCCACACGGAATTGTTGATGGCATTCCCTCAAGGTTCAGCTGTTCCGACGCGATCTTCGACGCGAAAAAAAAATCGTCTTTTGTCGCTCAATAATTCGCGAATTGACTGCAGTAACGAGCTCCACTCTACTTTCATGGAAGAAAAAACATTACCTTCATGAATAAATAGAGACATGCCATATTCAACAATGCGATGCATTTCACTGTGAATAGCATTTGCAAAGTTCCGCAGATAGGCGTGGCGTGCTTATCTTAATTGAAAACGAGTATCAAAAGTAATAAAATTCTCTGGATTAATACCTCCAGAACTGGATAATTTCATTGACAATTTATCCACGAAAGCTACGAGCACTTTGTTATAGACCCATAATATCCCATGTATTATAATAATTATAATAATTCATGGAGTACAAAATGTAGAAAACGACAAGTTCAATGTTCTGTTATCGCAAGGGATTTATGAAAAATGAATTGGTAGTGGCTGGCACCAGCAATCACCCGATACAGATAAGAATTGGCGAAACGAGAAATGAGAAGTGGATGAAAAAAAAACAAAGAAAAAAAAAAGAAAGGCAGGATTTCCATGTTTAGTGGTAAACGCCGACGGGTTTATCCTCTAGACGGATGCACACGGAGGTATTTGGACGGGTGTTGGATACCAGGCGCAGTTGCCACATCGGCAGTTGCCGGGCGAAGTTTCCTTTCTATGTGGAAATAACAACGCTCTTAAGAACTACCGGGGGCTAAGAGCTAACAGACCGCACCGGTTTGCCTCAACCTGCCTTTCAATTAACCATTAGCTTTACTCCGACCAAGGAAGAGCCAAGACTATACTTCTACGTCACACCGGACGAGGGTTTGACAAATACCTAGGTCAATACCATGGGTAATGTCCACAGTTTCTCCGAGTGATTTTAAACCTTCGACGGAGAGTTGGGATTCTCACCATTGTCCACAATTTTCTGGAGTTCTTGGGAGAACCGGAAGAGACCAGATATCAAAAAAATGTAGAACACCTTGTGCACATGCGCCCTAACGACACGTGGAATCCCTGACCCACGGCCTTGAACTCTTCACTCTTCAAAATCTTCCATTGACATTGGTAATCTCAACTTACAAAATTTTCTTCAATTTTTCTCCTATCTCGTTTTTTTCTAATTAATATTTCGAAATGGTACTGGGGAGTTCCATGGGGTTCTTGACGAAACAATTGTCCTACATGGGAATCAACAAAAGTCTTCCTTTACTTTCCCCTGAATTTACAGTTTGAATCCCACATCAGGGGAGAACAACAGGTTTTCTCCAATAAGCCTTATTTAGAACGAAAAATCACATCTTGATAATTTGAGATAAAAGTTCATCCGGCTGAATATAGGAAGAAGGACAATACAACAAAAATAGAAAATACGTAGGTTTTTCTATGGATAATAACTTGCAACGTCACATTTTATCCCTCACTCAATAATTCACAATTTACTGTGAAAGGATAATTCTTTCTTCAATAAAGTTAATGCATTGAATGGATTTCTCTGGACGAATAATTAATGAATTAATATTCTATAGACCAATTACATAATCAGTTGGAATTAAATTTCATCGATTCTTCACAAGTGAAAGTTACGCCCAATGGAGAAACCCCACCGGGAAATTTCGACACGAGGCCCACGTGAAATTGTGAAATGTCATATTGAGTGTCTTCTTATCACCACGAATAGTGGGCGTTTAGCTGATAAAACCTGCACCGGAAGAGAAATATTCGATCCCCTTTACGGTATTAGAAAAAAAAAGTCTTCAACTGAATATCATAACTATTTTCATCGAACGAGCATTCTATATCCACCGGAAGTCCAACACCAACACCAACACTACCTCCACCTTTTTTTATTCATCTTTCATTGTCATGGGTTAATGCCCGGGTGAATTTATATTCAGCATACCCACACACTCTCATAAACCGGCTACATCAGCCCGAGTCTCGAGTATTTACGGAGAACTCTACTGTGACGAAAAGTTCTTTGAACTAATTTCAAGTGATTCGTGTTGTTATTCCGTATTTCTTAATTAATTCAAGTCGATACCTTTGGTTAATTAAAACAGTTTTTCAGGGAGGTATAGTGGTGGACCGTTCGACCAATGTTTTTTATCAATTATCACCCCGTAATTAATAAACTCACTGAGCTTACCCTCGTCTTATTTCTGATACGCAGATGAATCGATATCAAGGGAGAAGGGAATTCATCGCCAGGTGTTACAACCAATAGCGTGCGACTCTCGCGACCTTCGTGTAACCGCGGGAATTTCACCTCGGAATTCACCTGACTAATACTCATTTCTCTCCAACAATTCCCTGTAGTATGGCTTCACTAATTACGAGAGTATTGATACTAATTCATTGGAATATTTCTGTGTCCGAGGAGGAGTGAAATTTAAAAGGTGTTACAGGTAATTCCAATTTTCCCATCTGTTTATCAAATTCTTTTGATGAGAAAATTCAAACGAAAGGATGATCAATATTTGCCCCTCGAGCCCTTCTTCATTCACCCGTAAACTGAAACTTTTCCATAAAACTGAAACAAACAGGAGAACTTATTGATTTACTATCTCGCATGACGACGGAATGAGCCTCTATTTTTCATGTTCCCTCCATTTACTCAACTGTCGGGAATCACCAAACAAATGAGAATAAAAGCATGGAAATAGAAATACTACCGAAATTCAAGACGGTGATCATATAGAAAACACGGACAAGACAATTTTATCGTGATAAAAAATTGCTGAGTTTGCCTTCTGAAAGTGTTTCATATTAATCCACATTGTGCCCGACCTGGGAGATTGTGTCAGACGAGCGTACAAACTCATGTATTCACATAATCCCTCCCCATTTCACCCCACCCACACGTTCCCCTTGTGAGCCCCCGGAAATGCGATCGCTTCCCCGTGAACTAGATTCTCCGCTGTTAAGAAAAAAATATATACAATTTCCCGTGAAGTTGACTATAAATTTCAGAGCAGGAGTAAAATGACAATAGCCAAATTATATTAAACTATCCGACCAAGCGTACCAAGTGTACCGGAATATGTTGAAGAGACTATGTTGTAGTCGACACAAAAGGTTTAATAAATAAATTCGTTGTAATAGATAAAGTGTGAATGGCGAAGGAACATATGGCTGGTGAGTGGGAATAAAGCACTGGGAGAGAAGTTGCGGGGGAAAAAGTAGTCGTTGTGAGGAGGACAAGAAATAGGAGGGAGGTGAAGATTGGTATTGGTATTGGTAGTGTAGGAGTATAGGAAACGTTGATTTGATGCCCTGAGGCTCGACGTTGCCAGTGCCGAGGAATATTGATCGGTGTTGGATGCTCTCAGTAACTGGATGGCAACGCTGCGCACAGCCCAGCTGATCCCGAGGCAACTGCTCATCACCGAGACACCCCTTTATTCCCCCCTCTCTATTTATTTCACTCTACCAGAATTTTCATACTCGGCCAATACTCGCCGATGCAAATAGACATGGTTGATTATTTTTAAACGTCTGCAAATGGAAGACAGATGCAAATGGAAACCATTCATTAATGGTTATTAATTAGAATTGGCGATGTCCCTGAGAAAAATGTTGTGAAAATGCGAGGAAATTTTCGGGAAATACTTGTGAATATATTTGAATATTTTGGATGAGGACGATCGAGTGGATGCATTCATTCATCGCGATGGAGCTGATTATTCGGATGCACATGTACCATTTCCCTGATCATGACCAACCGAAGCTGCGTCAATATTCGAGACGTGACCCAGCGTATCAAGTCGAGCGATAGTGGGTTGGGGAATTGAAACACTTCCGACTAGCTTCCCGATAAAATACCCGGCAAACTTTTCGCCTACGACGGCTCAAGTTTCTCCCAAAGGTCCTCCAATGACCTACCACCCCAATCGCAATTTATAACCATCACCCAACAAATGGAATAAATGTTCTCAGCTAGTCTGAACTTTATCAGCACTTGGAAATACCTTCCATTGTCAGAGGTATTTCATGTGTTTTTCACATGAAAATTCAAGAGCCATTTTCTGACAGTCCATTCAAGATTTATTCTGCAATCCGTGCCCATTACTTTTTTACTATCTCTTTTTACAAAGAAAATGATTTCTTATGCGCCGGACTGACCTCTTCCGAAGGTAAATCCTCGAGAATACACGGAAGAAGATATTTAACGAGAGAAATAAAAACAGGATTAGCGAGGTGAGATAAGTGGTAAAGCGAGTACTTGAGTAGTTGGTGCAGTTGGTGTGCATGTTATTATCGTGGTGGCATGGCTGCTACGTATGCGATAACAAGACGATAATCATTCGTTTAAACAAACATGAGGTTTTTGTTTCACGGTTGATATCGAATAATAAATTCTTCACACAATGCTCGAGACTTAGCTGCATATGCTAAATGATCAACTGCTTTCAGAAGGCGCAATGTGTTGTTAATACCCGGAGAAATTGGAAACATTGATGGATGTCCGTAATTAAAAATGAAATAATGAGTATTCGTGACTGGGGATTGTTACGAGAGTTTTTATGGATTCTTCAATGGCGATTCGTTTACTAAACAGGAAAATACCTGAAGCATGCAGAACGGGGAAACAATTATCAATGAGTTCGCTAATTTTATTACTTGAAGAGAATATTTTCCTCTTGGAAATCATTAAATTAAAGTTACATTAAAATAAAACTTGTCTCTGAATCATGTACCCAATAATTTTCCCATTGAGTTTCCTGTACATTTTTTTTTGGAAATTTTGAAAATATAATTATTAGGTCGCAACGAATATCTCGCAAATCCACATTCGTGTAGATCGAGCCAAGGCCAGAATATATACCCTCAATTCAAGCTTTCTGTAGCTGAAGGATCCTATCAATAAAAGATAATACACCAAAACAAAGTTGTCGAGAGAGAGATTAGGACTTTTCACGCGTAACCCTATGTCTCATTGGCCAAATAAAATTCATTTCTCATTGGTCAATGGGCTAGTCATCATCAACACAACGGAATGAACGGGCGGGGGGCGGAGCGCGCGTTCTGTCTCGTGATTCGATATAAACAAAACCTCAACTCAAAACCACAACCCTCGGATTAAATCGAACCATGTTTACCTCGCAATAGTTATTTACACGAGATAATAAGAAGTTCAAAGCTGACCTTTCCCATGGACTGGAAACGCGTGGTCTCAATTGCTCATATTCTCTATAATAAATTCGCGACACGTGACAATTGATAAAACGATTTAAGTCGATTTTTCCTGTGGTGAAATTCTCACTGAATATTTAGGCTAAGAGCTAAGTTTACTTGACTTCATTTATCACTTCGCCTGAGTATAAATAGCTGTAATGAAACACTAAAAAAGAGGAGACTGGGGTAATGGACATAAAAATTATCAAGATTCGCTCGTTTTTCGGGTCAAATTATCGAAACCTATGCAATGGTGCAGTTTAAGTGGATGGGAGAATAAAAGTAGATGTGATAGGAGAAGAGAATTTTTAAAAAATTCTTTTTATTTTGCAAACCCCTCCAATTATACTGAGTTGATATACGACAAAAAATATGAAACTTAAATTTGGTCGATCACAAAGCCTCCATTCAGAAGCAAAATCTATCCTTTGCCTCACAGCTGTTGAAAAGGTCCTAGCACATCGCGAAAAATTCTTAAGAAAAATTTATATGTTAGCCAAATGAGTTGAAAAAATTGAAACAAATTTCTCAATGAACTGAAAATATTGAAGACGATAGAAAATATGAGGAGCTGTTGCGGAGAGCGAGATGAGTGGAAATTGAGCGAGTTGTAGGGGTATCCTGGAGTTTTTGGGTGGGACAAAGAAGATAGAAAAGAGAAGATGGGGGAGAATGGAAGTCTGGAACAGGCATTGTGAACTGAATAGTGTGTTGCGCATATTCCCCTCAGTTTGGGTTGTGGAGAGCAAAAACAGGGGGAGAAGAGAGACATTGGGCAGGGTTGCCATGCGCATTCGTCCCCTGAGAAGCTTCCAACGTTCCAACGTTGCCAGATAATGTGAAGCACTGGTAGGCCACGAGGCACCTCGAACCTCGACATGAGCCAGTCGGTTTTTGTCTGGTACGCGCAGTGGTTCGCCATGTGAACCTAATCACCTCATTTCAGTTAAAACCGCTCTTGTGTCATGTGACACGGCACCCACCACCGATAACTCTCACAACCGGGAGAATTCGAATATAATATCCCATTTTTCCCCCCCTCCCCAGCAATGATATCAGAATCGACCAATGAATTCGTCAATACGTTGACAAAGAGAGTGTTTGGCCACTCGGCGAACGGTTAAACGTCGTGTCCCAATCGTTCTCGTAATTTCCATTGTTGAAAATCCAGTGAAAAGACAGTTAGCGCCTGGTGTTAAGGGTGATTGTTAAGTGAAGCGAGGTAATCAGGCTGTTGAAACGGGCCTCCTCAGGAGATGGGAGGTGGCTCAAGATCATCACAACGATATCAATTAGCAGCCACCAGTGATGATAATCCGGGTGTCAATTCAGAGATATTGTCAACTGGCACCGATGCTGGTGATACTACTCGTTATAATAATTCCAGCTCTCAATACCGAGATTATCGAGTGTCCAGCGGGATGTCAGTGCGACGGCGACAATTTTTCGTGCTGGGGAAGGAGCTTTTTAGGCCTGGGTCTTCCCCAGAGTGCTATAAACGTTGTTCTAATCAACGTCAGAGCTGCACAATTGCCAGTCACTGCTCTCGAGTCATCCGATTCACTAGAGAGGCTAGTCTGGTGTTCGAGTGGAATAGAACGACTAGAGCCAGGTGTTTTCTTATCAACTCCGTTGCTAGACCACCTGGATCTAGGTGACAATCGTATTGCATCATTACCAGAGGATGTATTAGCCCCCCTGCACCGTCTGCGATATCTCAATCTAACGGCCAATTCATTGACAACACTCCCAAGATCTGCCCTCCAGGGGCTTGACTCCTTAGAGACACTCCTCCTGGCGCACAATCAGATATCAGTGCTTCCCTATCAGGGATTCATCGTTGTTAAATCCCTCATCAATCTCGACCTCACTGGTAATCGTATCGTGTCATTGCCAGACCATACGTTCAAGCCGAATCGTCAACTGCTCGTTCTCCAATTGTCCTCCAATCGTCTCACCAAGTTGCCTAGCCGTTTGTTGTCAGGACTGACTAATCTCCAGCATCTAGACATGTCGAGCAATGACATTGAGATACTTCCAAGAAGTTTTTTCGCCGAATTATCACGACTTGAGTACTTGGACGTATCAGGCAATCCCATAGTGAATCTATCAAATACAGCATTCCAGGGTCTCAATAGCCTCCTGTCCATCAATCTGGGACGTACGAGACTAATGAGACTACCGAAAGACCTCTGGACACCAGTACCAGAGCTGCGCTCACTGATCCTAGATCAGACTAGAATCGAACTACTTAGGAATGACGATTTAATCGGCCTCTCCAACCTCGAGAACCTCACGATATCCAACAGTCCACTCCGTGGATTAGAATCCAAAACCCTCAATCATCTCTCTCACCTTCGTAATCTTAATCTCCGTAGCAATGATCTGACATTTCTACCAGCATCCCTAGCACACCTGAAGCGCCTCGAGCATCTCCACCTTGAGGGTAATCCCTGGGCGTGCGATTGCCGAATGTTCTGGTTCGTCAAGTGGGCAAAGAGTCATGCCCACAGGACAGCCTTCGAGTCAGGATTGAGTTGCGGACAGACTGAAACAGTGGATACTATTCAGGCTCTGCGTTATTTAAACTGCACAGCCCCATTTCTAACACACGCCACAAATACTGAGACACAGCATCGTTTGAACAGCTCAGTACTCCTCGAGTGCGAGTTCAATGGTAATCCAGCGCCCTCCCTCACCTGGGTCACCCCCCAATTGGAGATATTCCACTGGAATCCAGACCCATCATTTCCAGATGCTTTTCACGATCATCCGAGCCATCACGGGGTTCACGACACCACAAATTTGGGGAATAGTGGACATGTCAGACTGATGGAGAATGGCTCCCTCCTCATAACAAATTTACTCAGACAGGATGTCGGACGATACAAGTGTTTCGCTGTCAACCCAATTGCCAACATGACTACCTTCGTTTACCTCAAGATGAATCCAATAACGTATTATGAAATTAAAATATTCAGTATAGTAGTCGGTGGTGCCTGTACTGTTATCTTCCTATTGCTAACCCTGTTTGTACAGTTTCTGCGTTACGTATTCAGTCGGTAAGTACATCAGTGTCTTCTCGAACCATTAAAACCTCATCAACAAATAAGGGAACAATTCGGTTTGTTCTCTGGTCAAGTCTATTAGCTAAATGGCCTTGTTATAATTGCTATCAGATGCGGCTGGTGCTCGTGCTGCAGACGGGGTACAACCCGCCGTGCCAAGCAAATATATCAGATGCTTGACAACATTGAGCAGTACAAGAGCCAGCAGCTTGAGCGTCTCCGAGAGAACTACACTCAGCAAGTTCACAGGATCAAGGACAATTGTGCCCAGCAGGTAGAGTGGATAAGAGACAGCTACGAGGGACAGATGCGCCATATCAGGGACATCAGAGACTACGGTACGAGCCACCTCACGACCCTCAGGGATCAATACTACGATCAGGTAACGTCATTAAATCTCCAACATATAATGTCAGCAGCCAAGTGGCAAAGTGAGAGAATTCCAATTTTTTGTTAAAATTCCTACCAATTGAGCTTAAAAAATGATAAATTTTATCACTTTACACACTTCGCTAATCATTTATTCATCTTTGTATGACGAAAAATGAATGCACAAGATTGCGAATGATCTTTCCAAACAGGTGAAACGTGTACGTGATTATTCAACTGGTCAGCTCAACTGGGTGCGTGAGAACTACGTATTTCAGCGGAATAAAATTCGTAAATTCAGCGCCCATCAAGTGTTACGATTACGAGAGAGCTACAAGTATCAGCAGCAGACGCTGAACAAAGTACTGGAGAATTTGCCAAATTTGTATTTCGATAATTGTAGGAGTGGATCGTGCGGCAGAAGTGATTCATGTGTTTTCGATGGAAAAGATATAAACGGTGGGCCAGAGATGGAGGCCTATTTTAAGAGTAAATTGGATAGATTAGATGCTTGTGCGAGTAATGAGGATCTCAATAGTGAGTATTACACGCCAACCGAGTTTTCAGCTGCCAGTCCACATGGGCCTGGCTTCATCGACGGAGTACACATTAATTACATCGAGGATGGGCCACCACCACCTCTCCAACACTTCAGAGGAAATTTGAATTTTTTCAAGCGGGATGAATTCAGTGATAACACAGTGGTTCAGGGATTGGAGGGCGATACACCTGTTTATCGCGGCACAAGTGCTGAGTTCATTGCCAGAGAACAGGCCAGCACACCGGAGATATTGGGACTACTTGGGCCTTCGACAAGCATGCCTGAATTGCCACGTGAAACTCAGTTATAGACTCAATGTGTGATACGTAAGGTTTTATTATCAATACTGTGATTGGGGACGATGAGGTGCTATTATTTTGAGTAATGGATTCGCTCGGCGTGGCGAATGTGCCTTCCATGATGTTCTCGGGGGGGTGTGGGGGATTGGGTGAAGAATTTTGAGATTGAATAAACCGATGTGTGCCAGGATTACACGAGACTGTGGTTTTGCTTTGCGGGAGTTGGGGAGTTTATGGCTTTTGAATATTTTTTTGGACCTGGGTACGCCTCTTGAAAAATTCAGTGACTAGGTGAACTAGGTTTCAGTTGCTGTTACATTTGGCAGAGTTGAATAGTTTTGTTTATTCCTCAGACAGTCTCACTTTAATGAGACTGCTCACAGAATATCATTTTATTATTCATTTAATGAAGCTATTCAAATAGGAGGGATGATTGATGTAATGAGTTGTGATCACTCGTTCGATTGCCAACAAAGAGTTGATATATCATGGATGAAAGACGTTCGGTTGGTACGTACTAGTGTGTATGTGAACTTAAAATTGCCAATTGCCGGGTTTTAGATAGAACTAGATCAATTCTCGCTGGGCTACAGGTAATCGCGCAATCGATCTGAGAACGTCTTCCGAGGGTTGATATTTCGTTGAGCTTTTCATTCATTCTGACGGATTCGTGGCCTCTTTTTTACCCTGCAAACGCGGTGTCTTATACCACCTATGCAGCCACGTGTAAATCTATGTCTATTTTCAAAGATTAATATTTCCAGAAATATAAAACTTGTCAAATTGGTACAAACACTCGTGTAAAGACCGATAACTTCGCCTCGATTATTTCCACTTTTCATCTTTCTAAGCTACTGGGTTATTGAAAGTCAGTGCATCGTATTAGTGTCAAAAGGGTCCCGTCCTTGACCGGTTAAGGATTTTACAATAATTGCCAATAATTAATAGGTTACTAATTACAAAATGATGCTCGTTAGTGTAGGCTTTCCTGTTCTTTTTTAAAACGAGAAAAGACATGGCAGCACTACTCATTCAAATGATATTATTAAAAGTAATATGAAGGAGATTAAGTTATCCCGGAATTTTCTGTTGAGATGCACGAAGAAAAATTCTAGAGTGTGAATTACTGGAAATGAACAACTCCTTGAAATGTCGATGGACAAGTCGATTCCTGATTGATGAATTGAAAATTTTGGGGGTTTCGAGTTCATACCCTCCATTCCCGGAAGTCAGTTCTCAAGCTTTCTTCGGAGGGAATATTTTTATACATCATTTGTCTGATGGTATTAATAATTAGGGGCGAATTGGTTACACAGACAGATAGAAGTAAAATTAATTCAGGGGATCGTCCACGACCCTGGAGCCTAGACAATATAATTTTTGTTCCATTTTAAAAGAGTTATCGTATTGAATTTAGATGAACTGAAATCTTTTAATAAACTATTATTGCGAAGTACTTAAATTTAGAGCCAATTGCACGTTATTTTCAACCAAAGATATCTCTGTTGATGCTCTTCATCGATGAAAAATCGAATTGGTAATATATTTGAATGGATCAAATAGATAAATCCTGGTAATAGTTAATTAGTATGGGGAGAGAGAGAGAGAGAGAGAGAGCGTCATGGGTGACGTTAACTAACAGGTTGAGTACGTCTCTTCGTGTTATTACGTAATCGGTGTAACGAGTATGACAGAGTGAAGAGTGGCTCCGCCATACTGGCGATATTGTCTTCCCTCACTTCTCCGGAATCCGATTGGCATTGCATTTGACGATAAATCAGTTGTTATTAAATGAGGGAAAACTACTTGTCGAATATTACGACAAATTGACTGTGACTTGTCAACGAATTTGACGATAGTTTTATTCTAAGGGTATTGTAAATAATTCATTGAATTATTGTAAATATAAATAAAGTCATAGCTGTAACCTCGCTGTAACCGTTGCAATAAATTATCGGATTATTTTTTCACTGGTATCAATAATTATTTTCATCGCGTAATGAAAAAAATGGGGGAGGAGAAATCGTGGTCTATCCATTGACATGGAATAAAAACAATGAGAGAGTCGAGATTGTTCAGTACATACCTTCTCTTGAGTTCTGTTCCAGACGATGACGCTGTGTCCACTGTTGATGAGATTTTTCACGATTCCACTGCCCATGATACCGAGACCGAGGAAACCAAATTTCAGATTTGAGGGGAGAATGTTCTTTTCTTTCAGGGTCTGCGAGAGAGTCTCTACGTCCAGGGGTGGTGTTACCTTACGAGAAAAATGTCATTCTTTATTGCAATAGCGAGGAGGTAAATGTAAACAGTCGATTTGTACCCTAGTCGAGTTTTTGAGTATTATCTTTGAATCTCAAATAGATAGCGAAATTTTTCGCGAGGCCTCTTTTGGGCAATGCAACGAGAGCTACAAAAATATCGCTATCTCTCGTAAATTCAGAGATATTCCTTGAAAGCTTGCCTATTAGATAAATCCACTTGTTACACTCTCCTGATTAATATCCAGATGAGAAATTAATTATCAAAAATTTCGGCTCGTCAAAGTCCACTTGGTGTTCGATCGTAAATTTTGATGGAGAAATAGTGACGAAAATTGAAACCGAAATAATAATAAAAAATAAAGAAAATAATCCGAGAAGACCAATGAACTAGCAAGAGTCAATATTATTTGAGATATACGCGGGTAGTTGGGTACACTCGAGGGGGACATGCGCACTGGTCTCCCAATTGAGAACCACTGCTCCGGTTTCTGAGATAATCGTCAAGCATTATTGTGCCCCGAAAAGCGATTCCATGAAATTCAGAGTGATTTTCAGTTATTCTCTCAAAAATCATTATCTATTATTAAAATCTGAGTAATGGTTATAGAAAAATCCAGAAAAAAAAAATCATTGTTTGACAGTTCACCTGATATTCCAACGTAATAATTGAAAAATTTGAAAGCATGGAGAGAAGAACAAGTAAAGCATGATAGTACACTAATAATTATCTACCAACGATTTGAGTATTCTCATTTTGCCAACAGGGATAAATACTCTCAAGTGTGATCAATCAATAAATAAAATAATGATGGGATGATACGAAGAAAGCTGGCCTATACTATCCTCTCAACTCGGTGATAGATTTAAGATCAATCAATAAAATCAGCTAGAAATAAAATTGAAATTCAACTTTGCTTACTGGTCTGGCAATGTTAGCGGGTCTGTCAAGTAAAGTTGAGGTTGATTTTCTCGGTGGCGATAATGAAGAGTGGTTCAATGCTGGACTTGCACTGCCAACGCGATTGCTGTTGCTAGCGCTCGACTCACGTCGTTGCTTTTTCGCTGGACGACGCTCCACACTCGTGTCAATCCTCTTTGCCTTGGGTGTTTCCTGATGATTAATGTAACAAAAGATTTATCAGGAAATTCAAGGATTTCCACATAAATTCAATGATTTTTCAGGTGTTTCTACTGACCTTTCGCGGCTTCGTAATCTTTGGACTCTTCTTCTCAACATTTATACTCTCTTCCTTCAGTCTGTCAAAAAGAGAGTCTGGGTCCAAACCATCCTCAAACACCTGAGAGAGGGATTAAATTCATGGCTTGAATAATCAATGAAATTTTGAGATTTATGAAGGAAAAGAACGAAAAAATTTGTTGAATGGAGGAAAATCATTGTTTATGGATCAGTGATTACCTGTCCTTTAGCAATGAACTCCTCGATGGCCTCAACAGCATCTTTGAAAGTCCCACTTTTGTTTAGCTTGATGAAAGTCTCCTTGAACTCTCGATAAGGCTTGATATTCGACTCCTCGATCCAACCACTAGAGAACCAGAGAATTTTTCAAATTCATTCTACCCTAGTTTTATTCAGATATTACTGAATAGGATACTCACTAATTATTCGTGCCGAAGAAGAATATGCAATAGATTGCTGATTTCTTATTGTGCGCGGGCTTCTTTAAGTCCTTGGACGGGTTTGACACCTTCAGATATAAACATACAATCAGTTTTGTGAGGGGTCTTGAATAATTCGTATTTCATTCGACTAATTATAACTGATTGCTGGCGTCTGGGAAAAGGCGGGAAATTATCTACTGTCGAATGTTCTCAATATTTTTATTCAAAAGTTCGTTTCAAATTAATTAATTAATTCAACCAAAAAAATTCATTCGTGTTTCCATCGTAAATCAAAATAAATACCAAACGCAACAGGCCCTCAAAACGATGACAACGAAATCATGTCATAAATTCATTCGAAAACTGTCTCTAAAGAAAATAAAAACTCCAAAGCATGGGGAAAACGTCTTCTCTATTTCTCCAATTGCTTGCAACTCAGAGATGCATTTATTAATTGAACTTATTCTGGATTAATTTCAATTGTAGGTTATTCCCTGGTAAGTGCGCGCCAATTTGAATTCGAAAAGACCGGGGTGTGACGGGGGTAGTTACCTTCACTCGTCAAGTGAAAGTGAAAACAACGCCGAAATCCATTGCCGACAAAAAAAAAGCTCTCCGAAAACTCGGAATCCCTCGGTGAAAACCGAGGGAAAATAGTCCCGCCAAAAGTGACATGGCGGGAGGGGAAATTGATGCGTGGCGCGAGGCAGCAGTGCTCGCTTGAAATACAACAGTGGGGAAAACCGTTAACGAGCCAAAGGAATGAGATTACAGACTTACCCGGCCGGGCCACGGCGAGAATCCCTTCATCTTCGCCCTGAAATTCCAAATAAATATATCAATTAATTTCACTGGCTATTATTGGATAATTGAATCACGCTTGTACTCGGGTTTATACACACCATACGAGATCTCCAACTTTGTACGTCTCGGACATGTTGACAGCAGATGTTTCCGCACGAGCGTTCGCCAAGCGACTGACTGGAGAAACCGTATAGCGTCGTTTGTGTATCACGCCGTCATCCAAACCACTGCATCTCCACCCCACCGTTTACTACGTCAGTCAAATTAAATTTTAAACAAATAAAACATCAAATGATTCGAGTGAGGATCCACCGCGAATTGATGAATCACCATGAAAATTATTGGGCACCGTCGTACTATTTTTTTCCGATCACTTTTCCGGGCTCTTCGTGAGATTTATCTGATTGTTTTTCTCGGGGAGAAAAAGCACTTCCGCTGGCGCTTTGAACTCCGTGACACTAGAGCTTTCGCTTTCTCACCGTGTCACGTGATGGCGTCGGTGAGGCGCCAAAAAATTATTTTTTCATAAAAATGAGGGAAAATGTTCGAGTTGTTTGGGGAATTCCCTGGATTTGCGGAAAATTGTGTGATTTAATAGGATTGGGGTAATTGCGGTGAATGTGGTTTTTCTTTGAATTTTGACGGGTGAATTTGGGAGTCGATGTTTGATTTTGAGAATTTCGAGGCTTTTGATGCTGTTTTGGAATGCCAACTCCTGGAAGGCAGTCGATAAGACAGAGCAGGAGCACTTCCCGTCAACGTAGACAATCCAGAGTGACTGACGTCTAGGAACAATTTTACCAGCTGTCAGCCATCGATTGTGGGGAAATTCTGTTTCATTAAGAAATAATAAATTTCGGGGAGGGTTTTTGTGTCTGGCTCTGGATTATTGTGGCATTTTACGAGTGTGCGGGCACCATCTCGGGGGTTTTCAGAGAGGAAAATGGTGAGTAGATGTGGAAATGTTGTTTTATCGGGATTTATGGCATTCAAAACCCTGTGAGTGCGATAATTTACTTTTCTCCAGTCGATTCTTGACTCCTTTCGCCCTCCCGACACTCCAGGAGAACACCAAGGCACTGTCACTTGGGTACCCCCCAGTAAATATCATTTATCTGCAATATTCTCCGATAAATTTGTCCCTCATTTCGGGATTATTGCTCCGTTATTTTGATGCTCCTCTAGTACATGAAAATACTCAGTGCCAAGAAAACAAATGACCTCAGGCACGAACGTTTAATCGACTAGTCTGTGATGTCATGAATCGTCGCAGTTCATTACTCAATCGTTTGCTTATACGAGAGCTGTGGGGGTGCTGAGGGTTATATCAGGGTCTGAATGTCTTTAGAATTAGAGGGTATAAACAATGACTGAGGGATCAATTGTTTTTGTACAGTCGCACGTTACAAACGACGTGGTCCAGAGCGGCGCGTCTTCATCGGCAGTACTTCCCAGTTTGACCGTGGAATTGCCCAGTGAAGAACCGGGACATTCAGGGGCTTCCAGTCGACACATGAATGTTTTGTCTTTGGTAATCCATTTTTTTTAATTCGTTCTCTTTGCAGGCAAATCTTCTTCAAATTGTGGAAATTTCCCAATACTGTTGTACGATTTATTTTATTCATTATGCACATTCACTAGAGCGATGATGATCTACCACCCCCAAAACCAGATTTCTCAGCTCCTCCGCCATACGAACTGGCGACTAAATTGCCAAGTTACGAGGAAGTTCAGCGTGAAAAGACTCTGCAGGGAGAGCCCATTCCCAATTCAATGAATTTGGTACGTTTTACTCCTCCTGAGCGTTGAAACAAGAGATTAATTAATTTTCCACAATTCAGAGTGGTCTCAGAGCCCAACAGCCATTGACCATCCTGGCCATAGACCCCAGTGCTACAGAGGGTGATCCAGAGAGTGGATTACTTGGCACTGATTTCACATTCTTTACAGCTTTTTTGCGTAAGAAAAATTCGTAAATTCTCTCCTCAAAAGAAAAAAAAAAGGAATGGAATAATGAAAATTATCTGAGATTAATGTTACGCAATTATGTAGTTGCATTTTTCTTCAACTGGATTGGTTTCCTTCTATCGATGTGCTTCTGTCACACAATCGCCGCACGATATGGAGCTTTAGCTGGATTTGGACTTTCTCTGACAAAATGGACACTGATAGTTAAGCACTCAACAGACCTGGCATCGCGTGCTAACTCGTGGTTGTGGTGGTTGATCATGGCACTGGGTAGGTCGTGAGATAAGCCCACCTGCACCCAAAATGTGGACAACTCTCATTATTTTATTTCCCATTATATCATTCCAGGAATCCTCATTTGCTTACGTGCAATCACCCAGTACTTGAATATCAAGCGTGGATGGAAATTGCTGTCTGGGAGTGCTCAAGAGCGTTTGCTCTTTTTCTATTGAAACTAGAAGGAAGGACGAGGGAGAAAAATTGAATCTTCCCCTCCACCCACAGCATAAAACAAGAAGAAATACTGAATGAAACCCACTGGCACTTTAGACTGCCTAGCATTTCTATTCGGGTTATTTGCACGTTATAATAAGCAGAAAACAACAAAACCACCCATAAACAATATTACTTGATAGACTATACTATACAATTGTAATAAATAGAGGGAGTGATGGAAAAAGGCTTACGATGAGATTTGACAGAGAAGGAATAACAAATTTTTTAACGACTTAAAAATTATTCATCGAAGTACAAGAGTCCAAAAGATGTCCAAAGAATTGAACTGAAATTATTGCGCGACGTGATTGCTAGTTTAAACGAATCAAAAAATTATTTAACGTGTTTTGAAAATGCTTGAGGTAACACTGCGTGCTTATATTCTTTTATTTGTAAATTTGTAATTAAATCTGAGGAGTTTCATTTTATTTTTCAAATTTTTTGATTGTTATTATTTCCTTTGGGCTTCGTTCTGAGGAACGTCTGTTGCTGTATTCAATGTGTCAAGTGCTTTTTTTTCGGCTGAATAAATTCAACGCACGCAATAATCATGTAATACTCGTCGTTCATGGGATTTAATTACGCCAGATAATGGGATAAATCGGTAATAAATTGTAGAGCATGATTAATTTAGTTCGATCGAGCTAATATTTGAGAGAATGTGTGATCAATATTCCCAAACACAAGTATTTAGTAATACGATCATTAACCATTAGGGGATGAAGAGAAAAACAAAATGTAAAATAATTAGAACTCCAATGGGATTCTGAGTAACTGCAAAGTGGTTTTATTTATACATACACATGAATATATGTGGAATTATCGTTTTTTAATTAGAACCAGATACATGACACCCGATGACTATCGAATAGAGAACAAATCATGATTCGATAAACCGTTCTTTTTATCAATAATCCACATCTCACGGTTAAAAATCCCACGATGGAGCATTTTAAATTTTCTACCTATTAATCTTCATTAGTTTTCAATTAAAATGCATTATTATTACGAGATAAACAAAACTTGTATTTTAATCTCAACTATATGTGAAGGTGATGTAAATTGTCGTTATTTTTTGTGATGCAGATTATTGCAATAAATCGATTCCAATAATAATGAATTCATATTTTTGACATTAATTTCCCGGTATGATTTGAAATAACTTCTTACAGATACCGTCAGAGTCTGACTCAATCGTATATCCCTTCTCCTTGTTCTTCAACCACTCATATGATATATCCGCCGTAAATAAAAAATTACTTCGTATGTGAGCATGATTCATGGTGCAGTTATGCATTATGCCCGATTATACCTCAAAACACGAATGAAATAATAATGGTTACATTAATTTCAATAAAATAAATCAATCGGTAATTCCTCGCGAGGTCACAACTTTTCATTTCCCCACTCAAACACTTAAAAATAAGAAAATGATTGTTAATTACCAGTGATACTGTTTGTTTTGCTGCTCGAGTGTTATCACAATTGTCGAAAATCTGTTGGTGTTTACCTCCATTTCAATAGTACAGAGAGAGCAGGAGAATTTATTAAATAACATACAGGTAATCATAATAAAAATTTCACTGTAAATTCTAATACGTCACAACAATAATTACGTATTTGCATTCTTAGATTGTCAACGAAAATTCATAGAAGAATTTTCACTAACTTGAGTTTTGAATTAATACGAACAATGGCTGGCGAACAATTTTCCCTCGTATGGAACAGTTTTCCAACGAATTTATCGTCTGGATTGTACTCACTCCTGTCTGATGAGCATCTCGTGGATGTCACTTTAGCTGCTGAAGGAAAAATACTCAGGGCACACAAATTAATTTTGTCTGTATGCAGCACGTACTTCCGAGATTTATTCAAGGTATTTTCGTAAGAATAACTAGTTGAAAATAACAAAAAATTTTTGATAGATAAATTTCTGAGGAAATGTGTGAGAAATATTATGTTGAGAATCTCTATCGCAGGGAAACAATTGCAAACATCCCATAGTCATCCTGAAAGACGTTAATTACCGCGATTTATATGCGATGCTGCAATTCATGTATCAGGGAGAGGTGAATATCCAGCAGGAGGATATTTCAAGTTTCCTCAAGGTCGCCGAGACACTGCAGATTAAGGGATTAACAAAGGACAGGAATGAGGTAATGGTCATTTCAAAATTCACATCTCAAACAATTCCATTAAGATCATTATCTTATATCTTCACAAATGATGTCGTTAAAATTCCATCATGTTTTGTGGCATTCCTTCTATACAGAATAAAGAGCCGTCTGATGAACTAGCTGCTGAGCTCCTTCGAAGTGGATTAAAATCCGAGATAGATGAGATTCCAGAGCCTCCGGAGGCAGCGGACCTCCTGGAGGAATTTCCGCGACCTTTTGATCACCTTAGTGCCTCTCAACGCGATCTTCCATCGAACAACTCTCCAGAAATCCTCACATCTTCCAGCGTAACTTTTCAAATATCTCCAGGAAGTCATATTCAATCAGAGACCGATGCCCCAGGCGTACGACCAATTTTCAATGACAATTATATGAGTGCCGAAAGAATACCCTGTGATGATATCGAGCCATTGGATTTCACCTCCGATATGCATCAGAAGCCTAAAGAAAAACCGTTGGACTATAGATACGGAATGGGTTCATCGACCTCAGGCCCTCAAGGGAATTCAGAGAGTGACAGACAAACACCGATTGAAGGGATCTCTTATCAATCAGATTATGGAGAAGAGCCACCAGGTAATTATAAATATAACTGATTTTTTCAATTCAAGAACGATAAAAACGAGTACCGCGATACATTATTTTTTATTAAAAAAATATTCATCGATTTTAAGGTGTCCAGGACAACAACGGGGACTTTTCGAAAAATCTCCCCTATGACTCATCTCAGCAAAAATCCTCGAAAGGCCGAAGAACAGTCAAGGGAATTCCCCACAGTACTCTACCCCTGGAGACAACCCTTCGAGTTGTCTCAGAACTTGGTCCAACGCTTAGAGTTGAAAGGGGTAAAGTTGTGAGAATGTACTCGTGTCCATGGTGTCTCAGGCACTTCACTAGGAAGGAAAATCTCAAACTCCACGTTCGATACATCCATGGCCCCCTCGAAAGCTTGACCTGCAAGCTCTGTGGCAATAAATACAAGAACAGCAACAGTCTTCGGGTACACTCGTATCTCTATCACAACACCAAACGCTCTAAACACAATAAACCTCTCGTGCCCAGCAACATCTGAGATTCGTCCTCGACATCCTGAGATTTTATTGTTTTATTACGTTTTCTGAATGTAGAGTATTATAAATACACTTGTTATTAACTTCTAAGTCTCTTAAACACTTATTTCAGTGGTTTCATGAATATAAGATATATTTTTTTTTTAATCAGACTGAATTGAAGGAATTGCAGATAATTCAAATGCAGTAATGGAGGTGGCAATTACTGGAATTTAATTCTCCCCACTCGACTTATCAATAATTTCCTTGTATTTCTTGTGACTAACACGGAAGCTAAGAGTGATAAGAAATTATCCAGGATGTGTAAATTTCTGGGGGCAGCCTCTACCGATTACAGTAGCAATCTCGTGAATTTGGAACTTTCTGGAGAAAAAATATTTTAGTAGGCGATTAAAATGTTCGGGCTCGCAAGGTTCGAGGGTTTTCCCTCGATGTTCGGGCATAATCGAACTCCTGTTACTGTGGATCTCGACGAAATTTTCATTTTATTTGTGTTCATCGTTTTGTTGGTGACTGGTTTGGCGGTAACCCTTGGATATGGCAAAAAAAAGGTCAGACATTTTCAGTGTAATAAAAAATTCTACCCATTTATCTCAATTTATTTAATCATCGGATTTTTGTAGAGCCTCTGTGCAATTTTCAAGGTGGGAGTTAGTGTCTTCATTGGTGGATCATTAATGAGTAAGACCCGAGATAATTAGTAGGAGTGATAAGTAGGGCAATTGTAGAATTGTATTTTCCAAATTTTTCAGTATCAAATTATGGGCAGGAGTGGGAGGTGAGTCACATTGAAACGAAGACACCATACAGAGCTGGTGTATCAACCGAAATTTATGCGGCGATCGGCATTAAAATTGGTCTACGTTCAGTAAACGTGACACTGAAAGCGAACCCCAAACCGAATACTCCACTGGCTGGGGAGACAATCGATTATAACGAGAGATTCCCGTGGACGTGGGACCAGGGGAGATTCGGATTCGGTCCTAATTGTAATTTTATTTATTCCTAAATCCCCCAAGTGACGATTAATTCATTAATCTCTTGGATTTTTTAGCCGGTCTTTTACAGAGAACCTTTAGGGAAGCGCAGAGGAAAGGCCTTCCCATTCCCATCCTCTGGGTCGTTGACTATTTCATAATCGATGGAGAGAATATTAGATTCGGAAGATTCTACAGAACTGCCGGATGGTACTGCCACATTTTACTCTGGTACGTGGAGTAATTTTTCATTTGATTTATTCAATTGTGGAAAAATGTAACTTTTTTATAAAATTGTCCTCAGGGCAGCATTGCCAGCCTGGATCCTTGCAAATATCTTCCTCCAGTCAGTAGGCAGATACGCTGCATATTTTACGGGTCTGGTGGGTTTTCTAGAGCTCTTGAGTTGTATAATTTGGGCATCGGTTCGAAATCCGATTCCCCTTGAAATTCCCTTCGAGCAAGCAACATTGAAGACAACATATGGGTTTTCTTTCTGGTTGGCACTCTCAACAGGTACAGCATCTCCTTAATGGAAGATTAATGAAAATCGATATAAGATAAATTTTGTCTCCCAGGGATACTCTCTTTACTCATCGCCGCAGTTCTTATAGTAATGGACCTGAGATGTCCCAATGTCCTCTCAAACTTCCTAGGGATAAATATCCTAGACCAATACGACGAATACGTTGTTCGTAAGTGCAACTATTGGGACTTTATTAAAAATACCTTTTAAATAACGTAAATATCAAAGTACACAATATCATCGATCGTTTAATAGGAGCAAACGAGTTGGATTACATGAGAGATAAAACTAATAAAGATGGATCGATGGAACTAGGCAGAATGTCAGCATTTCCAGATAAAGATGACGGAGTGGTAAATAACATTAGCACAACAATCTCCAAACATTCATTGACACAATATCTCATTAATTTGACATTAACCACACTCAATAAAGGTTCATTAAATTGAAATAAGCCATTTATTGGGGTGCAGGTGCTGTTGAAGCGTCGTTCAACAGTCAAACGAGCACAAAAGGACTTGCTCCGAGTGGGGTACGTTCCAGTGAAAATTCCCCACTACGATGACGTATACTATAACCACCCAGTGAATCCCGGGTGAGTCTCGTATAAGAACGGAGGGAGGATTTTTTAAACTGATTATTTTACACCTGCAGGACCTCCAACGATGGTGTGGAGAGTGACGAGAGGCCCCTGCTACTTCCTCGTCGAAAAAAGATGACGATTAATTAATTCAACGAATCCATCCGTGATTAAATTCAATTATCATGAAATCGTTCATCTCTCATCCTGTATTATTTTTCTATCGACAGATTAACAACAGAGAAAAGTGTCAAAAAATGTAATCTTGAAAGGAACACTATCTTTTTCTCCATACTTTCTGGTTATCTTGACAGTTTTATTGAATTCAAATTTTTCACGTTAGTCTGTTATTAAGCTATTGATATTATCAAATAAATTCCGAGTTGGGGTGTGACGGAATTTATCAATTATCATCGTTCTTATCCTTGCCATCGCTGTAATCAGAGCCAGCCCTCGACGTGCCAGGATTCTCCTCAGACCTCCTGTCCTTGTCCTTTTCACGCCTCTCCCTCTTTCTCTCGCTCTTTTCCCTGTCTCGATCTCGCTCCCTGTCCCTATCACGATCCCTGTCCTTGTCATCGCTCTTTCTGCCATTGCTCTCGGATTTGTCCTTACTCCTCCTCTCCTTATCCCTGTCCCTGGATTTCTCCGAGTACTTTGACTTGGATGATCTTGTCTTCGATCTGGACCTCGACCTTTTCCTGGACTTGGACTTGGACCTCTTGCTCCTGGATCTCGACCTGGATTTCCTCCTGGGTGATCTCTTCTTGCGATCCCTCGATCTCGATTTCGTTCTGCGCGATCGGGAGCTCCTGGACCTCGACCTCGAGCGGTGCCTACCCCTGCTGGTGCTCCTGCGTCTCGATGGTGATTTCCTCCGACGTTCCTTCGATCTAGATCGTTTGGAGCGCGATCTGGAACGATGACGATGACGAGAGCGAGATCTACGGTGTCGAGATCTCGATCTCTTCCTGGATCTCGATCTTCGACTGTGGCCGTGGGATCTTGATCTCGATTTTCTCCCGCGAGAGCCACTCCTGCTCCTCTTGTCCTTCGACAACATTCCAATCATGGGGTCAATGGCTGCAGATATCAGATTGTGAGCTTCTTTGACCCGTGACATTGCCTCCTCGATCTCTTTCTGGGCAGCCTCATTGCTCTTCGCCTCTGGCTTGGCAATCGCCTGGGTCGAGTGGTAAAGTTTTATCGGCTTGTCTGCCAGGTTCTTGCCATTCAGCAGGAGGGCACTCACCACCTGCGACTGCTCATTGAGCTCCATCAGGGCGTAGTGATCAGTGTCTGAATCACGAGTGCACAGTCGCAGGTATTTTATCTCCACGCCATTAGATACGAAGAATTCCAGGAGTTGGTCCACTGATACTGACGAGTCCAGATTGGCTACTACCAGGGTACGACGAATCTCCTCGATTCTACGACTGTCCAGGTGACCTGGCAGGTTGGGGTACGGAGGCAGACCATTTGATTCCAGTTTTGGGTCCATGGTTGTTATCACGTGGTTCGGGGGTATACCCTCGATCGAATTCACCACGTTTGGGGGGAGCTTTGGCTCTGAGGGGTATAAACCTGAAATAAAAGACTGCATTATTCTCTACCTCTCGACGAAATGCAATAGCAATTTTTTGCATGTATCAGGGAAATAAAATACAAACCTGGTACGACTGTGCCATTATTAGTGAGCTCCAGGGCCCTCTGCTCGTCAGGAATATCTCCATTCTGATAGGGAATAACAATGAGAGCCCTGTCAATAAAAACAGTGTTGGTCATGTGTTGGGCAACAGCGACAGAGCCCTGGTCATGAAATTTTATGTAGCAAATTCTTGATTGAACTGGAACTGCCACATCCCTGATGGTAGGGTACAGCCGAATATCCTCGATCTTCCCCAGATATCCGAAGAGCGTCTGCATCTGGTCCTTGGTGGCCTGAGGGGCGATGTTCGTCACTTGGACGACTTTCGTCGTTCCCACCGCCATTTCAACGTTTCGCTGGAATAAACAGTGCGGGGTTAGGATCCCGTCGATGTGCCGAGACGTTTTTTCACTGTTTTTGTCAAATTATCAGACGCGAATCAATACACTGAAGACAGGTTTTTCCATGGGCGAGACATTTTTCCGATTTATCGGCACATTTTCAGCGATTTTTTGGGAATTGCAGATTTTAAAATGCGATGCGACGCTTGTGTACGAAGGAGAAGGATTACTGCAGAGAGGATGGACTAAAGTAGAGGCTCAGTTCTGGGGGTTTGAGTGACCCCACCGGCATCATAGTACTGCACCCCAAGAGAGGGAGGGCGCCACATGCAATGCTGGGGTGTTTTTTTTTTATTAACCAAGTTTTTATTGCAATGTTGGGGTGTCCATCAAGTCGACGGGGTGAATTTTATTTTCTGCTGTACGAATGCTTTTTGTTTTTCATTTGTTTAACAGAAATTTAACCGACTGTAGCACGTACGGAAGGGGGAAACCACATCTTGTGGAATTTCAATGGAAAAAATTATTCAATGTATTGAATATATATCACTAATGAATTTATATTTTTAAATGTGCGCGTTGTCCTAGCGGTAACGTGCTCGACTGGCACGCC